TAATGTACGCTCTCATCGTCCGGGATGGTGTGGCTTTCCAGGGCCCAGTTGAAATAGATGTGTTACGTAGGGAGGCTGAGCATAAGCGGAGAATCCAGCCGTGTCATGAAGTGCCCGCGTGGCATCATAATCTAGCAAAACCAAACGAACACAGCTGTCAGTTTAAAATAAATCCATACCATGTGCAACCATCTGCTCTGATCCGAAAATACGACTCGTGATTGGTACATGCCCAAATTTAAAAATTGCATGGTTTCCCCCCCTCCTTCCCCCGTAAAAATTAAATTTCCATGGCGACGGATGTTTCCTTGGCGATGGAAATTGACCATAAAGGCCACAAAAACAGGGTAAGAAAAGAAAATGAAATAGAAATAAAAAGAATGCAAAGGGCACTCACCAAGGAAATCGGCTTGTGGAGATTTCTCGTAAGCCGACATGGAAAATAAGCCTCCAGACTTGGCTAGAAGGCCGTCTGAAAAGGCTCCTACGAATCTCGATTCCTCAGGTTCGGAAAAGTCAAAAGATTCGTCGAAGATCAATGGAGTCTGGAAATCCAGATCCAGCTAATGATGGGGCAGAAACAGCGAGTTAGCAATGTAACACAAGGAAAGGGAAAACGAGGGGTGAGAACAGTGTTAAGAGATACCATTAGAGCAGGTACGCGTGCGGAATGGGAATTGGAGAATATGTGTGTGGAGAAATGCATGGGAGATGAGAGGGAAGGAGAATCAAACACAGATTGGAAACGGGGAAGATGGGAGACGTTAGACATAGAACATACTTGAGCACAGTGATTCTTTGGGAACGCCAGGGTGACGGTGTTGCAATAACTGCAACGCGGAAAAACTGATTTAAATAAAGCGAGTGGACGAGATTCAAAAATCTCAAAAAAGAACGGTAAAAGAAACGATGGTGGAGAACACCCTCAGGCGGCTCTCCGAGACAAAAACGAGCGACGAGATTGAGGATTGTTAGTCAACCTCAAAAAAATAAGTTGCAAAACAAAGACTCCGAGTCAGCATATAGAACCGCGGTTCTAAAAGGTGAGACGAAGTCCCGCACTTGCCACAGACTCACGACCTCTTTGCGAAAAGACCCTGAAGAATTAGTATTCCCCAGATCTTTGAGCGCAAGAGACGCGGCGAGTGGACACTGAAGGCGCTAGAGTGACGAGATCGAAAGAATGTTCACGGTTGTTTCGGTACGTTTGGCACAACAAGGTCGGTAGATTAATTTATTTGAGCACGATGGAAGCCGTGGGCGCTACGGACAGTTGTTTCTGAGCACTCTAGGTAATTTCGAGTTTCGGGAAGCTGAAGCAAGCTAAAACGATAGTTGGGAATAGGAACAATTGGCGCGAGATAAACTGCTTCGTCGATCAGCATGGACTCATTCCAAAACAGAAGCGCCGGCTCGTTGCAGCCTGAGAGAAAGAAATCTCACCGAGTGACTGTTAAAAAAACGAATAAAGCAGATACCGTGACGAGGCGAAAATTTTTCCAGATGTTTCAAAGAGGCGGCAAGATTGGCGGTGGTGTATGTGCTGGAAGATAAAAATTAGCTATTTAGTAACCTCCCCCTTCCCCAAAGAAAAAGGATATATAGCATCAAACACGTTTGGAGAGAACCGTGGGTATTGGAAATGACATCTGCAGGGTAAACAGATAGTGTAATGAAACAAAGCGAGCAAAGAGGGCCAGGATGTAGCCGCAGAGAGAAAGGAACATAGACCGTGACGCGGATATTACGGCAACCGGCGAGACATATTGGATAAGCGCTCGCCTGGAGCCCATTCATAAGGGAGAAAAAATAGCAAGGGGGAAAAAAAAAAAAAAAAAAAAAAAAAAAAAAAGGAATAATAAACAATAATGATAATAGTAAGGAATACAATCTCAAATCAAACACGGGCGACTACTAACCTCACAGAATTCAACTCACACAAAGAGAGAGCCAGCGATCGTGCTCCTTCTTCCTTCCAAGACAGCAGTGGCAGACGACAGTCGTCCCGTCGATGGCGGAAGGGAGACGGACTGACGGAGAGAATATAATAATCACGTTCACGATGATGCTATCATGTGACCGCACGCGAATTTGATACAGGATTTGAGATTTGGTCAAGAGTTCGGACGCAACTGATATAAAACGGATGGAATTCGACCTCGCCGGAAAAGCGAATGCAGACCGAGGCGGAGTCAGGGAGACCCTGGATGAGGAGAATATTATTATTATGGGTAGATGGTTGTTTGGCGGGAGTAAGACGATCGATTATTCCATGGAGGAGTCCAGGCAGGCAGAATACAAATTAGTGTTTTTCGTTTCTTTCGTTTTCTTTCTTCCCCTCTTGCATGTATGTGAGAAAGGGAAAAAAAAAAAAAGAAAGAAAAAGAAAAAAAAAAAAAGGATGGCGTCTCTTCGCTTCCCGTCAGAATCCACAAGGCAAACGACCGACACGGGAGGTTTCTATGGTAGGTAGGCAGACCCAGAATTGAACGAACGGCCAACGGGAGCCAATAGAGCTTGGGGAGCTTTAAGCTGGTGCGACGGGACAAAAAGTCGATGGACAACGAGAAGCAGTCGCTTTGCGTTGTTTAGATGAAATATTCTGATGTCGTTATGCAATATTCTCTTGACCTCCTTTCCTTTCCTATTCGGTTCCTTTTGTTTTTCTGAACTATCTTAATTTTTCTTCACCCTCAGGTTTTATTCTTTAATTTTTTTTCCTTTGCCGTTGTACCCTAGGCTCCAAAAAGAAAAGGCAGAGGAGGAAGAGAAGGAGCTAAAAAAAGGATCGTTTGACGGTATGGCAGCGGCAGATATTTCTTCGCGGGGCTTTTCCAGATACGACGTTCAGTGATACATCGGGCACACAGCACGAGAGATATATGCTGTCCGACGACACTTGACACTTGCAAGATGACAAGACGAAGCCGAACGAGCCTGAGCCTAAACGAAGGAGACTCGAGCAGGAGATCGCTATGATGTTTATTGTTGATTTGGTTGTGCGGCGGATGTGTAGTTATTGATCCAGGTCGGTTTTAAAAAGGGCAGACGTTTTACCGTCGCTTGCTTGTTGGTGGTGTTGTTGGGTGTTCTTTTGTATTTCTTCTTCCTTGGGTGTGACTTGACTATTTGACTGCTTTTCTTTCTTTCTTTCGTTTTTTTTCTTTCCTTTCCTGCTTTTGGGCTGTGGTTTTAGCAGGGGACTAATATTTTTCGGACAAAATACAAAAAATAAATAAATAAATAAAAAAAACGAGGACACAAGAAAAGGTAGCGAGCGTAATTCCGTTGAACCCAGAGCGAGTGTTGGGTGTGCAACGAAAATGAAAACAGGAAAAGGAAAAATAAGTATTATTAAATTCACGTCGTCATCTAGATGGTGGGTGGAACGAAGGCGGGAAGAGGAGGAAGAGGAGGAAGACGGAAGAAGAGAGAGAAGCAAGTAGAAGAGGCAGAGGAGAGGAGGAAGAGGAGGGAAAAAAAGGAGGCCGAAGCAGCAGGCCGGCGCGAGAAGCTAAAAAAAGCCCGGCGGGGGTGGAGGATGTGCTGAGGGATTGCTGGAAAGGGCCCGGGCTCACGGTCCAGCCAACCGCCCCACAGAACACCCGCACTCACCTCGCCCAGGGCCACGCTTTTGTCTCGTAAAGTACAGCACCAAGCCCGCCTCTCCT